GAGGGTTCGCACAGGAGAAAGCGTACAGATTATCTGCAGGCAGCAGATCCAAGATGTGGAGACACCTAAGGATCCCAAGTTCGCAATTGGTTGGACTTCGGGATCGCCCGCAAGTGCAAACACTGGGGACAACGGAGGGACCATAGTAGTGATTGATGCCAGACATCACAAAGGGTCCTATGGAGAACAAAGATTTGATTGATCATTCACACAGCGCCCATCCAGGCCAGATTCTATAACTGCCCTAACATTGACAATTAGAGTTACTGCCGCTGTTTATTGGGGCTTCCACGCGAAGGCTATGTCACTTCTCCTTTTCACCTTCCAGCACCGGGCAGGTGTCCGACTCTATACATCGTGTTACCTCCTTTGACCATTTCTGATGGGATATATGGCTCTACATTCTTTAGGCCAAAAGGGCTGCCTGGTGGCACCTATGGCCACCTCTCAGTGCGACTGAAGTCTCCGTCACTATGCCGAGTACCAGCGGCTAGGTAGTAAGACCCTGTGCCCTGTGTACTTAGCCTTTTTCGGGTAGTTCATGTGTCACACAACCTAAAATTGTGCTCCATGATTCCATTATTTGACAATCCGAGTGGACTTTATCAACTGGCCTCTTTCAGGGGCCCTCATCGTTTTACTTATTCCGAAGTGGAAAATACTGTTGATATATTGCCATTTGCACCTCAGAGTCTTTGATAGTATAGGTGGGAGGTGGTCATCAGCGACTGCCAAGCTTGAAATACCACTCTTTCATCTAAAGGGTGTCTAAATGCCATGGTTTGGTAGAACCTTGCATGGTGGGTCGTTTATCTTGGCCGGATGCCTTATCTGGGGCGCTCACACAGTAATGTTAAAGGCAAATCTGGCTATATGCTGAAACCTCCGCCGCGTATTCAATAATGGATGCTGCACTGGCTACTTCGCCGGTAAACCGGAAGGGGTCTAGGTATTCTGCTTAGCTTAGGTCTTACTCTACACAGCCTGAAGGAACAACTCCCTTTTTGTTATCGAATAAAAGCAAAGTCTCTGAATTTATGACCAACCATATCTTCAGTAATCTGTAAACCAACAAAATATTTTCCATTATAAACGTGTGCATAGCTACGGACAAATTTAGGCAAAAAAAAAAAAAAGATCTAGGTGATTTTTTTTTATTTTTTATTTTTTTTTTTGGTGAGCCACACGCGAATGTTATTTCAACAGACAAACATCTACCAATGGACGTTTCCATACAGATCGCGGGACTACGGAAATACACACTACGGCCGCCCGCCGTACACAACGCACGCACTCTTATTCCGAATGCATACAAGTCATCTTTCCGGTTGGATTCAGTAATAATCTGGGTGCGCTGCGTTCGGGGGAAGACGGTTGGCATATCCGGATCCGTACAGTAACGAACCCGAAATTCGGCCCAGGTGCACGCTCATTACCCCGGGTCGGAGAGTATATCATAACTACCTTCTTTCCCCAAATACAACGTACGGTCATTATAGCTGTATTTGAGGCATCTTTCAGTCCAGATACAGCTATAATGACTGTACGTTGTATTCTGGGAAATAAGGTAGCTTGTCCATAGGTAAACGTTCTCCAAGGCTCGTCCAGGAAGGAGTCCGTGGAGTATTATGCCAGAAATTTTATTTTTTATTTTTTATTCTTTTCGTGCCGGAAATCTAAGATTGATTTCTGACTCCATAAAAAAAAAAAAAAAAAAAAAAAAAGATTTCTGACAAGTTCCTTACAGAGTTTAGATGGCAACACAACACTTCGTGCCTAAGGAGAACCCCGAAAGAGGCAAACATGAAAAGAACAGCGGGAAAAACAATCTGCGCTTCTACCATGTGACTTCAATCTGGGCCTCGCTGCATTACTCTCCAAATGTGCAAAATGAGAACGAATCTTCTCCTAGAACATGGAAAGATGCACCGCCATATTTTGTCTTTTGTACATCTGGAGAGTAGTGCAGCGAGGCCCTCAATCAGAAGGCGAGCGGCAGGGACAACACGGATAACAACTACAAGTCCGTGAATGATAACATGTACGCAACAAAAATTTCTATAGCAACGTCAGTCAGTCTTCTCGTCATTCCATAGCCCTGTGCGAGGACAGACAGACAAACCGAGTAAAGCGACGACAGACATCCATCGAGCTCTTGACTTTTGTTTTTCCCTGTTATCCATGTCTTTCTATAGCAGAGCAAAAAACAAAACATCCCTCCCCCAGGAAAGAGAACAAAGACGCTTACAAAGCGCAGGCTTTGTATTTCGACCGATCAAAACGTTAACTTTAGTTACCCTCTCTCTCCTGAAAATGGTGAAGTCCATCCATCCATTACCCTAGGTAATCTCTCCACCAATCTATCTATCTATCTATCTATCTATCGATCTATCTACCTACCTATCTATCTAACTAGCCATCCATCCACCTATCTGTCTATCTACCTATCTACCTACCTGTTACATGTATATTGTCACAAAGATGTCAGAGCGCAAAAGCAAAAAAAAAAAAAAAAAAAAAAAAAATCAAATCATTTTTCATCTTCTTACTTACAACTCCCCCTGTTCAAAACCTCTTGCGTACAAGGCTTATATGTGATATATATGTATATACTACCTGCCTGCCAATCTACTGGACGTTTCTTCATCAATCTGTCCATTCATCGATGGATTTACTTCTTCTATCTGTGCCAGGAGCTCAACCTGGCCAAAAACCCTCGGGGAATAGCGCGTTTCAACTGAGAACAGTGCATTCGGAGATGTAATGTTTCCGTTGAAGCATGTGCGAGATTCTATGGCCGCTGTTTTCACTGCTGTATTTGTGCCTTCTCTATGTACTTATCTACCTATCTAGATGTCTATATTAGTTAACACACCTATGTGCGATCAGATCAGTCACTCAATCGTGGGGTCGAGCAAGCCTCCCAGACCGCGTGCGTGTATACACTACAGTCGTTCTCGGTCACAGGTCGCTGCACATTGCCACGTGTCAGTGGATGCATCATTAACAGCTGAATTACTACAGTAATAATCAACAATCACCGTGTCGGTGGTGCGGAAGCCACCAATAACTCTGGTTTCTGTGACAACACTGTTTTTTTGTTCCAACAATAACTCTGGTTTCTGTGAAAACACTTTTTCTTCCAGCACAGAGTTCGCTCCGTGAAAGGTGACGCCCACCACTTGGTGTTCGCGCCTTATTGGTTCCCCCAATCACTCAATTCTGGTTCCTCCAATCAACAGGTCGACCTCTCTTTTCTGTGTTAGCAAGTTTCGACCGTACATGAATTTGAATCAACTCTGGTTCCTCCAATCAATCAATCGAGTAATCAAGCAATCAATCGATCAATTAATCAATCAATCGATCAATTAATCAATCAATCGATCAATCAATCAATCCATTGATCAATGAATCAATCGATCAATCAACCGACCAAACACAGCATCAACATTAACCCAAATAAGCTCAAATTCGTTAAACGCAAGTCAACTTTGGAGACTTCCATTACTCCACAGGCCGTTGGATTTCGTGCCCGATAGAACACAAATTGCAGCCCAGTTCGGTGGGCGTGCTGAGCTATGCTGAACATGAACCTTATCGTCAAACGGTCAGTTTCATGCTCATTAAGCGCAACGCAGAAACACCACAGTTCGTAGAGACAGCAGAGGAAAACGTCAAAAGTTGCGTTGTCAGAATGTGCCTGCGCAGTGCAGATAATCCGATGCACAATCTGTGCCGTAAATTGTACAGCCGTCCAGATGCATTCGGATACCGCCAGTGCAGGCTATTTCCCTTCTTCGCACTTTATACAGTGTTGGCATCCAAAGCAGGCTATTTCCCTTCTTCGCCCTTTATGAGGATGGAGAAACACATATACACACAACAACAAAAAAAACTTCGGATTTCCAAAGCAGGGCGTGCGCGTTTGAGCGATATACACGTATGTGAGAAACGATTTCATGGAATGAATTGCGTGTGAATGCCGCAAGGCGGATCTGGGGAGAAGCCCCCTGAGGAGTGCCAGGAGCGCAGCCTGGCCGAAACGCGTCGGGGAAATTGCGCGTTTTTTTCTGAGAACTGTGCATGCGGAGAAGAAATGTAACTCTGTTGGTGAGTGTACGAGAAGCAGTCTATGGCCACTGTTTTCACTATTTTCTACCGTCTTCCCCGAACACAACGCTCTCTCATGACGATTATATTAGACCGGAAAGATAGCTTGCATACATTCATAATCAGGCTGCCTTGTGCTCGAAGGACGCCGGTATTCCGGCCAGATCACACAAACTACACAAACTACACAAACTACACTAACTAGACAAACACCCTCAGATTTCCCGTTGTACAAAGCGCAATTACAGTAATTAATGCCCACCCCAATTCTGACAAGACTACTGGCAGTTTTGTCCATTCCGAACCTAACCCGCCTTAAGATTTAGCTTCACTGTGATCGAAATGGACAAAACTGTCAGTAGTCTTGTCAGAATTGTCAGAATTGGGTTAGGTTCGGAGTGGTAGTTTTGTCCATTCCGAACCTAACCCACCTTGTTTGTCCTTGACCCGAAAAAGACACCACTGTGATCGCACTCTGCTCGGAATTCCGAAAGCACGTGTGCGTGTTGTCCTTGGGCCCCATCGTTCCAATTGGAACAATACAGAGAAGGAAGGGTAATTAGCATGGCCCCTGCGCTAGGACGACACGCAATAAATCGCGAAAAGGCAAAAAAAAAAAAAAAGTTGAACAGAATCCTATCTCAATTACCTCGGGCCGGCCAGTTCATCAATGATATCTCAAGACAGTCTCCCTGTGTTTTGTTTCTTTTTCCAGAAAAAAAAAAAAAAAAAAAAAAAATACACGAGCGTGTGCTTGGTGGGTAGGAAATGAATGGAGATCGTACCGAGCGGAACCGCGTTGGACCATCCTGGACGAGCTCTCGTGCCAGCGACCGAAACATTGTCGTTTACTATCCCAGGAGAATCTCTAGCAGAATGCAGAACACGAATGAAAAGCCAAGCGTCGATGGCGGCGGCGGCGGCAGACCGGGAAGGCGGCCAGGATCTGGCTGTCACAACGGCGGGAAGATTGCCAACAAATTGCTTGGATAAGTGGGTTGCTGATGTGGCTGTTTACACGCAGTGCCACGTGGCAGCGTCCTCACTGGCAGAACCATTCGGGAGTCTCTCATCAAGGAGTTGTCTTCTCCCTCTCCTCCTGCAAACCGCTTCACTTCAGCAATCGAGACGACTCAGATGGTATTCCCTTCCGAGGGTGTTCCAGCACATAGCAAGATTACACCGAGGCTCGACTTGCAATCAGATGTGTGCATTCGCCGACGCAAAACACTACAGAGTTATATGCACACACGCGCGTGTGTGCCCGCGCCTGAGCATGTACGTGCGTCTGTCCGGATCGGGCGTATGAGAGGAGAGCAGCAATGGAGGGAGGGAACAGATTGATCCCCTCGAGAGATGGGAGAGTGAACAGGAAGGGCGACGAATGATGGAAGACCAGATCGACCGACTGGTCGTACACGATCCAGACGCATCGAACAAACAATCACGCACCTCCCCACCGCCTCACCCTTTCCGCATCTATCAGCTGCTCCCTCTTCTGCCCTCCTCCTCCACCTCCTCCTCGTGCCCTGTCTTGTCTACCAGAAGCGACTTATGCCCATGCCTGGAAACGATAATACATTGTGGAGGCCCGCAAGGCGACGCCCATGCCTGCAGGCGCCAAGCCCGGTCACGGTTGCAGTCGGGGTCGACTCCCTCGTTTTCACCCGTCGAATTATCCCGCTTTCAAACAAGGCGCTACCGATTTCCACACCGATTGCAATCAGGGCAAATCCGTCCTTCAATCTCGTTCGTCGATTTCAAGGTATCGATGCAATCGACTGTGCAAACAAACGCACAAATCGAGACATTGAACAACAGTGCGAGAAAAAAAAAAAAAAAGGCAGATACTTTCCGCTCGCACGATGTCGATGCACCGACCGCGCGGGTAGAACGCCAAAGAAATAATCGCATAATCGCAAATAGTTTGAAAGAAGATCGCGTCGGCCGACGTCCGCGCCGCCCACCTGGCGCTTGCCTGGTTCCCCCACGAAGCGCGGGAGGAAACAAACCGGCCCACCTCCTCTCGGCCTCTGAAAAACGTGAAAATGAATTGATACCGCCGCCCTTGAATCTGGCTCGGCCGTCTCCTTGGGTCCCGCGTTTCTGGCCATACGTATCGGCCACCAACTGGCGCGATGCGATTCTTTCTTCTTTCTTTTGGTTGCGAAAATCGCATCCGTACCCAACTTAAAGATGGGAATACCGGTTATACCCAGTCCCAGTGCGAATTGCATGTATACCCAGAACCCGTTCAACTTTGCATAATACCCAACTTTCCCCTGTGCAAAATTGTAGGCGTACCGCAGGCCCTGGGTTCCAGGCATCTCATGCCCAGAAACCGGGCTGGCAAAATTGTGGGCGTACCCACACCCCTTGGCGGGCCTTGGATGCCTGACAATGAAATTATGCTCTTGCCCGCCAAGTGGACCGTTGTGGCCGAACGGCTGCTGGGTATGAGCATAATTTCAGTCATCCTAGGGTATGTGAATAATTTGGTGGGGCCACCTCAGTCCCGGGTATGCCCATAATTTTGCCCGGGAGGGTATATGAATAATTTGGTCGGGCCACCTCAGTCCCGGGTATGCCCATAATTTTGCCTGGGTATGTACGTAACTTGTGCATTCCGGTAGTTGGGTACAACCGCAATTTTGCGGTACCAACCTGGGTCCACCTCAGTCCTGGTAGAAGTGCAAATACACAACAACTACGTTAGTTCATTCATCCAAAAAGCGACGTCAACCAGAGAGAGAGAGAGAGAGAGAGAGAGAGAGAGAGAGAGAGAGAGAGAGAGAGAGAGAGAGAGGAAGAAGAAGAAAGTACGCAGTAATGAAAAAAGCCAGAACGCGACGAATATTCAAAAAATACAACAATGAAGTGCGGCGGTAGGACCCGACTAGTTTCGGTTGGCCCGCCAACCAACCATCATCAGGGGTCTTGTCGTCGTGCGAAAGTGACCTGATGTTTGACGACTGCGTATTTATGTGCTAGAGAATAGTACGAATGGTCAGTAAGCACAGGTAAGCCAAGGGTCCCACCAAAGAGGGCCCAGCCAGAAAAGACTCCCGACCAAAGTCTGTCACAAACCGAGCTACGTCAAAGATTCCAACCGTCGTCCCAACCAAAAAACAAAAAACCTGGAAAAAATTAGCAAACTAAAGGTCTGAAAATCGAATTGCATATCTGCTCTATCTAATAGAACCTACGAGACTCAGCAAACCCAAATGAAGAAAGCCATTCAATACTCGAACCAACGTCGGAATCCGATCGGCGGAGTTTGGACCAACGAAAGGTCAACAGCTCAAAGCCATAAGGCCATAAGACGTGTCCAACTCACTCATTTCATCAAAAGGCACAAGTCAGTACGCCCATTCTCGAATATTCCCTAATTGCTAAAACACAGAAGGGGCAAAAAAGCTAGAAAAGCACTACCAAGAAAACCAACAGGTACAAAAACAAGATATACACAGAGACTTCGCACGACGTTTCGACAGGCACCTGTCCCACCTAGTAAGACAAAACAGCCAATGATCCCAACATCCATAGTATTTCCGAGAAAAAATTGTAAGGGCAGAATCGAAGAAACAATTTGGGTACCCTCTAAGCCAAAGCTCGTGTTTCAAAGTCAGAAGAAAAGCAACCTCAGTGTCAGGAACAGAGGAGAAGGTCCGAGCTCGATGAAGAAAAGAAATAATAACCGCCAGTTTCTGTTGCCGGCTGGAGTACGAACAATAGTCCTGAATAGACTGGAAAATCAGACCATGTTCCCCAATACAGCGCTGGTTTTTATGTGTGGCAACTTGATCATAAAAAACTGTGACTACGCAACCAATGTAGTCCCAACAGTCGCCCACATTCGTTTGCTCCAGTACCAGGTTGGAATCATAACAGTGTTGGAATCTAGAAATGATAAATCGTGCCTGGTCACAGGAAGACGGAGAAGAAGCAATGAATTTAACGAAGATCGAGACATCATCCACGACCCGAAAACCAGCCACCAGCTTACGATTAGAGCCGAGAGACGAGAGGAAGCAAGATTTGTTATATGCACAAAGCAGACAGGCAAGAGTCGGGCTGGTAGTCTTGCCCATTGGAATGCCCACAGCTTGTTTCAAAAGAGCACCAGAAGCAACAACATATGTATGGTCAAGCTCGTAGGACACAAACCTAACAACTTCATTAAACCTGATAAGAGTCCAACCGTTTTCTCCACGTCCCTTGGTTAGTCTGGCAGCCTTACCATGCGATCAGACCAAGATGCCCGAAAAACCTTCCCCATATCAGTAGTCGGTCACCCACCGTACGGCTTTCTCAATAGAAGGATGCGGCAAGTTAGGAAACATTTCCTTGATATCAAAAGATGCACCCATCAACCGTTCATCATTCTTCAGATTCTTATTAATGGAAGCAATACCGGGAACAAAATCGATAGTTCTCTTCAAGTTGAAATGGAGTCGATCGGGAAGTCGCCAGAGCATCTCATTGAGTGCATATGCCAATTTTCAACTGCAAGTCACCCCTCCCTCAACAAACGTTGGACAAATAGGTCTCTCTCCTCCCATTGAGTTCCAGCAGTCGGAGCTCCTTAAGCTTGTCCACCTCCATTTGATGAAGCTGCTTTAGCTCCTTATAATCAACTCTCACCGTTGGGGTCTTGGTAGGTGTACACCGGGGTAATACCGTGGCTTGAACACTGGGAGTGGAAAGGGCCACGCATCCTCGTTCAGAACCCGGTCTGAGAGCCTCTTGTCTCCAAGCTTCTGCCTCCACCTTCACATCGTCCCGAGCTTGACGAAGACAGGAGATCTCTTGCTCTATTTTCTCCAGTCGCTTCCTGGCCGCCGCTGCTTCGTCAAGTTGCACTTTCATCTTCTCCTGATCTGCCATCAGCTTGGCAAGCAACTCGTCGTTACCGTGCGTCTTCACCGTCGGAGCAGTCGTACAGGGCGTCTCAGCCACACATGATGCAGCAAAGAGCGCCAAACAAACGGAATCCAGTCGTTTGTTCATGTTATCCATCATACGCTTGTTGAGTTCTTCCCTCTCCAGCTTTTCTTGAGCTCTCCTTTCCTCGTTCTCCTTCTCTTTCTTGATTCTGTCCTCTTCGGCAATCTTGTTCTTTTCACCTTCAATTTCGGCATCATGACGAACCTTGATAGAGGCCACCGTAGCCTCGAGGTACTCGAGCCGCTGTCGAGCCTGGTGCCAACTGTTACCCTTGG